GAGTTTTGGAACATGTAGTCAAAAGCAGTTAGATGTTACAAACCTCACCAAGCCAATCTTTGCTATTATGGGAGCTTGGCAACATGCCACATCATTTGTTGCCATTCTGTATTGTTAATTACTTGTTTTTGAGTGCACATATCATGCCTACTTCACAGTCCAGTTCACATTTTAGTGTGACCAACTCCACACAGTTATAGATTTGTGTGTTCTTTTCTTTTTAATATGTTGTCACTGCAGCCTGCGAAACTAGTCCACTGATTTACTTGTTATGAATGTGTTAGCGTTAGATTAGCCATTGAAAGATACAAGGAAATGCTTTCCAGTTCCCCCAAGAAAATCCCTCCAGCTCTTACCTCATTTCTGTTACTGAAATGTACACATAATATATTAATAACTTTAGGAAATTAAGAAGGGACGTGGTGCTGCTGCGGGTTAAACCGCAGAAGCCTCTGTGCTGCAAGGTCAGAAGACCAGCAGGCGTAAGATCGAATCCACATGATGGAGTGAGCTCCCATCGCGAGTACCCAGCTCGCTGGGGGGGGGGGCAATGGGTAGCCTGTATAACTAACTTGTAAACTGCCCAGAGAGTGCTTGAAATGCTATGGGGTGGTATATAAGCAGCACACTTTTTTGCTTTTGCTTTTGTCCCAGCTCCTGCCAACCTAGCAGTTCAAAAGCATGCAAATGCAAATAGATAAATAGGTACCACCTCGGTGGGAAGGTAACAGCATTTTGTGTCTAGTCGTGCTGGCCTTGTGACCACGGAAACTGTCTTCGGGCAAACGCTGGCTCTATGGCTTGGAAACAGGGATGAGCACCGCGCCCTAGAGTCGGACACGACTGAACTAAATGTCAAGGGGGAACCTTTACCTTTACCTAATCTGCTGCTTTTTAATGATGCGAACATTTGCTGGGTGAGGGACAGAAGGAACATTCAGTTTTGGATTCTTTGATAGTGAACAAAGTGTAGAAAAGTAAATTGTATTGGTGGAGCAAAAGTATAACGCTAATCTAGGCAATGTAACTCAGCAGATGCCAAGCTTGGCAAGAAGGTATTACATAGCAGCAAATTAATTGTGTACCTCATAGCTTTGAGAATGTATTCCATCTTACAAAACCTATAGAAAAATAAATCATAGTGACTTCAACGGGAGTATGACATATTCCTGACAGTGCAAGTGGTAGGAGTGATGGTGGCCCCAAACAACAACCCAGCCCTATCACCCTGAACATTTAGAGTGAATGACTGGGGACTGGCTTTCTCTGAATTGCCTAGATTAACTTTATGTTTTTTGCATATATCAGAGCACAGTTCAGAAGATGCAAGGATGGAAATAAAGGCAGGGAGGAATGGGGAGAAATGAAGACTAAAAAGAAATACAACAGCCTACAAGGTTCTTCCCTGGGGAAGGTACCTGGGGAACTTGCAAACGGACAAAGCTCACGGAGGCAGGCAGGATGCTGTTTCATTTGGGCCGTCAGCAGTGGATTCCTCTTCCACTGCACACATCTCATACCTGATATTTTATATCAGGTATCATAATATCTATAGATCTATAGACCTCCACTTCCTTCTCTTCATCCTTCATCCTCATGAAATGTTTTTACTATTTCATTTCCGAATCACTTGCCCCCAGTCTTTTTATAGGATTTATTTTAAACAAACATTGATGTGCAAAACCCATGGCCAATGTGTGTTTGTTTGCTAATGCTGCTGCAGATCAAAATGGGGGACTAGTCTTTTCTGTGCTGAGTAGGCGTGAAACATTTCTCGAGGTTGACAGTTTTTTTTTTTTAAAGGTTCCAATATATGCAGGCACCCTTTTTCATCAAAGATAATTTGTGGATACTTGTTGACATCTTTTCTAGCTAATGCAGCACAGCTCAGAGCTTCCTATGAGTTAGAATCCAAGAATATCTGCCTTCCCCAAATTTGGGAATCTATTTTATATAAAAATTGACCAAAAATAAGAGGACTTTTGCCTCTCATTGTGAAACCTAACAGTTAATGTTAAAGTATTTGGAAACTGTTATTAGGATGATTTCTTAAAGACACAACCCCCTCCCCTTAGGCTTTCTCTGCTTGAAATTTCAAAAATTTTCTGTAGGTGTGCCCAAGATAAAAGGCTTAGTATTTTTAACAGCCTTTCTAAAATAGGCTAGGCCAAAAGAACAAATGAGTTTTCATAATATAACTAATAATTATGTGCCGTCCAGTAAATTCTAACATATGGTGACTGTGACGGACAGCTCTCAGAATACTCCTGCCAGTCAGGTTAGAGCTCTGATATGGGAGCCTATGACATGACAGAAGGGGCGGAACCAAGGAAATAAAAGGAGGAAGAAAGACAGTTAAGGACAGTTTAGGCAGTGAGGGCTGTGGTTGTCTTAAAGAGAAGAATAATAGAGCGAGATAGAGAAAGATATAGGAATAGGACAAGTCTTGGAAAGTTTGGGGTTAAGATTGGTAAGAGTTAAAAGTGCTAAGAAATGTAAGAGTTCAAAGTGCTAAGAAATAAATAAATAGTTGAATATAGAAATACTTTGATTAAAGTGAATCTACATAAACAAACTTAAATGTAATCAAAGCAATGTTTATTGAATGAATAATAAAAGACCATCCATGATTTTTTTTATATGAATTACCTACAAACCCATAAACAAACATTGTTATATTGGACAACACTGATCTAATAGTCGTATTTGGTACAGGGAGGAACAGATCCTCTGGTGGCAGCAACAAAAGGGTGAAAAGTACATGTCATGCTCGAAAGGGAACCTGGGTTTGTAGAAAAACAAACAAGGGGTGTGTAACAGTGACTCTTTCCAGGGTTTTCTGGGTAGAAACTATTCAAAAGTGAGTTACCATTGCCTTCTTTTAGGAGTGGCCTGGGCTTGTTCAGCTTGCCCAAGGCTGCACAGACTGGATCTACCCAACAGGCACAGTGGAAATCAAACTATCAAGCTCTGGCCCTGCAGCCAGATAAGCAACTCACTGAGCTATCCAGCCAGCACAGCAGAGGGGTAATTTGTGGTAACCAGAAAGTAGAAGCAGGAGCAACAGTTCTGTGTAGGGGTAGATTATCATAGTGCAGCTCTAATTCACCATTATCAAATGGTCAATGCTTCTAAAGAGCTCTGGTTTAGAAGCCAAATAGATCATTCCAGCCTAACCTCTCTGCACGCTGGCCCATTCAGACATCCAACATTTTCCCCATGTGTCTAAGCTTAGAGGCTTGAGCATCTTCTCTGACCCATAAAATATGAGATTAGCATTTCTCTAATTTAAACAGTCTGCGAAAGGCATAGGTTTAAAGGATTTCTTACCTTTTGAGGCTTTTAGGCTGAAAAGGAAACAGCTCATTGAAGGATTTCCTGTGGATTCTGAATATTGGGCTAATAAAATAAAAGCTCAGAAAAGCATTGTGACTGGGAGAAGAAAGATCTAAAACATTTACGTTTTGACTACCATTTAAGAATATGAACCAGGAGATGCTTTTCCGGCTAATTTAGAGCATATTCAAATAGTACCCATGCACGGCTGCTGAGGACAAAGCTGTGAAAAGGCCTTTATGGATGGCTCCCAGCCTGCAATGTGCCTTTCAGGTGCATTCACTATTAGGTATATGATTACGTTTCAGCATCCTGAGGTTCAGATTTCCTATGTGATAAATCCCATCCCTATTCCCATCATCACTGTTTAAAATTCATACTGTCTGGAAGATGGAAGGTTTTCTCAAGCATATGGCCACACCTAAATTGGACCAGAATGTACAAATTAATATATTAAAAGTACTGTGTAAATCTTTTGTTTAAAAAAAAGACAGCTGCATATTGTAATCCTTTAAATTCTTAAAGACTTTGACAAAGATGTAATATAAAATTCTAATTACTGCTGCAGTTTTTTTAAAAAGTAAATCTAGGTTGAATTAATTGGCTCCCATCATTTTATCATAAAGGCCTTTATTTTTAGTCAAGAGACAGGCATTGGCCCTCATGCTGTCCTTATACGCATTCAGTGGTGGTAAATGCACAGTGAGAGAAAAAGTGAGAGAGAACAAAACTCATTTACTTTGTCAGCCATTGTCACTATGTTGAATGATGAATTAAATCTAGAGACAAACAAATTGAAGGATCACGAAAGGTACAATCTTGCAGAGAATCTAGCAGTTCTTCAGCCTGATAAACAGATGCTGAAGGCCTCATTGGAATAGCTCCAAATATTTCTCTCTTGAACCACATCAAGAAAGGTTAGTTGCAGCCAAGTTCGTTGGATACTGAACAGCATTTTACTAATAGCCAAACTCAGACTTTCACAACAGCAAGAAACTGGTTCAAATGCTTTCTGTTCCTATTGCTTATTTATAGTTGTGATCAGTCCACATTGTTGAGTGGGTGGATTAAGCAAATAAAGATTAGGATCTAAGAGGGCAAAGTGGCTCTTTTTTATTGCAACAAAAGGAAGCCGCTTTCCAAATAGTTGAGAGGACTACTAGTTTAAAACTGGAGTGGACTACTGTGCCCCCCAAATGCTTCTGGCTTACAAATGCCATCAGTCCTCATTGGTTTAGTCAGTAGTGAAGGATCATGTGAGCTGTAATCCAAAACATCTGGAAAGCCACAGTTGCTGTCCTGTTTTAGATCAGTCTGTATTAGCAAGAAGGAAGCATGAAATACTTTACCATGAATAAAAAGTTAGAGAAAAGACATATATTAGACAGCCTGTATGTTCACATTCTCTGTTAGCAAGAAGAAGCTCCTAGAATGCATCAAGCAATATGTCCACTTATATAAAAGTTGGTAAGGCATTTTGGAAATAGTTTTCCCTTTTTTTTGTTTTTTGAAAAGTAATCTCTAAAGAATGAACGAAGACCCTGTTCCATTTTGCAAGTTTTTAAACCCATTTTTACAAATCTTCTCCCATCTTATCTGGTTATGAATATGTTTTGTTCCAGGCTTAAAATATTTTCATTTAAGTGATCTGTATTTATTTTTAGGTGGTGTTTGCTTTGAACCAAACACTACTCCAACATGAAAGTCTCCGAGCTGGCAGTCTGCAGGCCCCCTACATCACTGAAGACCTCATCAAGCATTACAACTGTGGAGATCTCAATGCTGTTATATTCAACCACGATACTTCACAGGCAAGTAACCATCACAGTTTTGCTAAATAAGAGATTGTGAACAGTTCTCTAGATATCTGTTGACAAAGAGATGACTGCTTATTTCTGGTTTATAGTCTTAAAACCTGTATATAGATAAATGGGGAACTGAAAATATTTGGTTTATTACATATTTAATAATTATAATCTTGTGCCGTCCAGTCAATTCTGACTTAGAGCTACCAATTTCTGGGTTTTCTAGGTTGGGAATACTCAGAAGTGGCTGACCATTCCTTTCTTATGGGGGCATCCTGGGATGGTCCTTGTATAGGAGAAAATCTTGTTTTTGAGGCTTTTGGAAAGTCATGTGATATAGCCTGCGTGGTCCATATTGATACCATGAGTTGTCGCAAATTATGATTGCAATAGTTAGGCCAGTTTGCAGGATCAGTGTAATCCAAGCTGGGCACAACATTATCTTCTTTTGCAGTCATTCCAGTACTCTCACTGTATAAAACTGCGCCTCTCTCAGGTCAGTTCTGCACTCCTCTGAGTTCAGTTCTGTGCCCCTCAGGTCAGTTCTGCAACCCTCTGAGGTCAGTTTTGTGCCCCTCTCAGGTCTGCGCTCTAGGTGGTTGCCTAGTTTGCCCAGTGCTAGATCCAGCCCCGGGTGGTGGTATATAAGCAGCATGTTTTGCTTTTTTTTAAAAGTGTGACTCACTATACTAAGCAACAGGATTTTGGCTACTGTTTCCCAAGGAAACAAGAGACTTGTAAGGAACATCCAGGGTGCATAGAGAACAAAGTGAAGGTTTGGCAGCATAGGACAAGAGGAAGTTGACTCGGCAACAGAGGTCACTTTGATCTTAGTCAAGTTGGTGCCTTTTGCCACATTCCAGTGGACTTTGGCATCTCTTCTAATGAGTCATTCATTTTGTATAACAAAATGTCAGCCTCTGTGGCTGCAACAAGAACTGCAACACGAGCAATCTTGTAGCAATGTGCCTCAAAGCTCTTTGTTGCTCTTTTAGCCCTTTTTGATCCTATCACGAATGAACATTTGTGCAGAATTAAAAATGAAGAAACAATGGTTCACTACTTAGTAAAAGATATCCAAAATGAACTTATACATCTTCTAGCAGGTGCTATAAAGCAGAACATTTTAGCAGATATAAAGTCAGCCAAATACTCAGGGCTTGAAAAATGTACTCGTCCACTCGTCTGTGATGAGTGAAAAAATGCGGCTTGATAAGCCACAGCTCCTTGCCTCCTTACCTTCCGCCTGTCTCCCTCTCTCTCTGATTCTGCAGTCCTCCCCTTCCCCCCTCCCACTGCAAAAGGAAAACAGCCCTCTTCTCACTAGAAGAGAGTCCGAGTGGCACATAGATATATAGCTCTGCAGGAGAATGTAGAGGAATCCCATGCTGGAGAATACGGGTTAAGAGGCTGGGTGCTTTTGCTTTGTTTTATTTTTGCTGGACACATTCAAAAGAAAAGCATTCAAAATACAACATTCATGACCCCACAGGCACACAGGTAATAAAGCAAGCCAAGTCTGAGAGTATGTATATTTTGGGTTTCTAAGCATTGTTATGTAGAAATAAAAGTGAACAAGTGCCTAGTTTATATTTAAATTTAAACATAAATTGCAAGGCTATAGTCTATAATTATTTCTCTGAATTGACTCAGCATTGGCAAATTCTAACTAGCCATGTATCAGTCAAAGCTGTTAAGCCACTGAGTCAAATGAGATGGGAGAGCTTGATGCCTTAAAACCCTGAGATATCATCTTGGTAGTATATATGATGCTTTAATAGAGTGATGACATAAGCCTAAATAATTTATCTGGAAATACTTATCGATTGAAGCTAAGGCCCTTGCTGATGCAATTTGTAAGTTCAGATTTTTGGTATCCCTTGTTGCATGGTACAGCATTCTTTTTGAAGTTAATCTTACAAGCAAGTTGGTACAAAATAAGGTAAATGCTTTAAATTCAGCTACAAGCCAACTGCAAGTGACTAAGAATTACCTTATGGGCTGTAGGTGTGATGCAGGTTTTCAACAAGTTTTGATGGATGCTACTGAGATTACAAAGGAGCTAGAAATATTACCAAACTTTGAGACAGAACAAGTTAGAAAAAGGAGAACAAAAAAGCAGTTTGATTATGAAGCACAAGAGGAGGCACCACAAGATCCAAAGCAGAAATTCAAAATAACTTTCTAGTATGCTGTCTTAGATATGGTCATGCAATCTGTTGAAGAGAGATTTCAACAGCTACAACAAAATAATTCCTTGTTTGGCTTCCTGTATGACATATATAAGATCAACAAAAATGTACGGAAGATGTACTAAAGGCCTGCAAGAATCTGGAAAAATCATTGATGCACAATGGATGCTGAAGATCTGTGCTGTGAACTTATAGCAATAGCTTGAAGACTTCCAAAATCTATGCCACCACAAGGAGTAGTTCTCTTCATAGTGCAACAAAAACTCCTGGATAGTGTGCCTAATGTTTCTGTTGCTCTAAGGATCCTTCACACACGTCCAGTGCCAGTGGCTAGTGGTGAATGAAGTTTCTCAAAGCTTAAGCTTATAAAATATATTTACACTCAACAATGCTTCAAAGTAGACTAGTTGGTTTGGCAACTATATCAGTTGAACATGCCGAAGCATCAGCCATTGACCTGAAGGAATCAGTGACAAAATTTACAAAAGAAAAGCCACGCGAAATAAGATTCTGATGTGGTAAAAATAGAAACATTTAAGAGACATTACTGTTCATAGGATTATTCAAAATGATTTGTGTGCTAAAACTGTTTTGTATTTGAGAAAGAAAATTGAAGACTGTTCTATTACTTGTTTTCTCAGTTTTTTAAAAGAACATTTTCACAATTTAAACTTTTGTACTTTGTTTTTCCTACAATTTGTTTTTGAAAACTGGTTGGGGGTGCAAGTAGTTAGTCTTGCCTAGAGGACAAAAAAGCCTGGAACCAGCCCTGACCACCCCATAGCACTTAAAGCACTCTCTGGACGTTTTACAAGTTAATTATGCAGGCTACACATTGCCACTCCTCTGGCAAGCTGGGTACGCATTTTATCAACCTTGGAAGGATAGAAGGGTGAGTCAACCTTGAGCCGCCTACCTGGAACTGAACCCCGGGTTGTGAGCACAGTTTTGGCTGCAGTACAGCAGCTTAACCACTGCACCACGAGACTCCTTGCTACGTAGAACCACTGAATTAGTGGGATTTGATGAGTCAACTACTCTGTAAGTTCCATTGATTCAAATAGACCCATTCTTACTGCAACTTACTGTGCTAAAATAAGTCACAGTTGGATGGCCAGTGAGATGTTAACACTGTTTTCCTAGAGTTTTTTGCATGTGAGTTTTGATTTGGTGAGAGACTGGAAAGCTTTGAGAGGAATGTTTGTATAAATCAAAGTTAATTGCAAGTGCTTTGGAAGCCTTTGAACATAATTCCCTCTTATTAGGACAAAGGGCTTTGTAATAATTGAGCTTGCATTTGAAAAGGAAGTGAATATTATATAAATAGGCTATGAGGTCAGATACCTTCCCATTCATGCCATAATCCAATAATAATCTCTGTTTTATGTGGGGTTGGGCAGAACCATTTGTTTTCTCTTAGATCTTCAGTATCACTTTTAAAGACTGTGAACACTTTGTATGTCTCATTTTAGTCAGGTTCCATACACATGTACACCCTGTACTAATATAACTTTTGCTGACTATTTGATCAAGATCCAAAGATACCCGAATATGACTCAGCCACATTAGACACTTGAGTGCCATTGCTTAAGTAATATCCCCTTAAAGGTTAAATGATAAGCCAATGAGACTTGATATCACTTAGTATTTGGCTGGATAGTACAGTGGTGCCCCACATGATGACGATAATGCGTTCCATTAAAATTACTGTACAGCTGTACAGCGAAATCGTCATCACGCGAAAATAAAAAAACCCATTGGAATGCATTTAAAACTGGTTAATGCGTTCCAATGGGGGAAATACCTGCTCGTGCAGCGAAGATCCTCCATAGGGCGGCCATTTTGTGATCCCTGTCTTGCGGAAATAGGTCCGGAAAACAGCGGGGAGCCATTTTGTGAACCACTGATCATTGAAGCTGTTTTAAATCGTGATCCAGCGAGAAAACGGTTCCCAAAGCAGGGACCGAATCGATGTAAAGTGAAAAAAACCGCATAGGAACCATCATTAGGAAGGCATCATCAAGCAATTTTGTCGCTTAACAGGGTAAGCATCTAGCAGGGCACCACTATACCAAGAATTTTAAACACTTATCATTTGTTATGTAGTCTACTGGAAACTGTAGGGACATTACTATGTAACACGTGTTTATTCATATAAGATATTTCCATACCAGTCTTCAACATAAATGATTCCTATGATTATTTACAACAAATTATTATAATAAAATGCATTAATAGACACCAGGAAATAATTGCAAACAATATCAAAGTAGGTTTATATTCAGAACTTATGTGATTTAAGTTCCTGGGAAAGTCAAAAGGCTTTTGCTTGGCATCAAAAAAGACTAAAGAAAGGGACTGATGCTAATGAACAGGATCTCAGCCATCATCATCATTAACAACAACAAAAAACATATCAGTCTATGCGAGTAGGTAAGTGAAATTTTACATATCTATTACAAACAGAGGCAGGGAGCATATGTTTCAGTAAGTGAAATTTTACATATCCATTACAAACAGAGGCAGGGAGCATATGTTTTGCTATGAAATTGAATTATACTTGATTTTTAATTTCCACTAAGAAAAATAATTTAGAGATGTTGTACAACCCAGTGTTGCAGTGATTTTTCTGTTATATTTTTCTCTCCATAATTTCCTTAAATCACTTCAGTCCTTATTTAAACTCAGTAAAATGCAGCAAGCTTATTCAGCTAGGCCATGTCAGAGAAATAAAACAAGAAACAGATCACTTTCTTCTACACACTTCTGCAAATACTTGACTGTCCTATCTGATAGATTAACTGTGGACTTTAT